ATAGCCTTACCATCATGAAAAAATGCAGAAAGATTTATCAAGATCTTTTCGTTTTTGAACAAAAATGACATCAAAAGTTCACATTCTGACAGAATATTTTATACAAAAATATTTCTAAAAATGTTTTCTAAATGCTCTAATTTTATGACAACCATGCAAAAAAGGGTAAAATTTAGAAAAATATTTTTACAAACATTTGTTGTCAAAATTATTTTCGTTTTTGACCAAAAATTACATGAAAAGTTCAGATATAGACAGGAAATTTTATAAAAATAAATTTCAAAAAATGTTCTCTGAATGCCCTAATTTGATGAGAAACATGTAGGAAAAGATAACATTTTGAAAAATATTTTTACAAACATTTTTGTCAGAATTTATTAGTTTTTGACCAAAGATGACACGAAATGTTCACATTTTGACAGGACGGTTTACAAAAATAAATTTCAAAAAATGTTCTCTGAATGCCCTAATTTAATGAGAAATGTGCAGGAAAAAAATACCATTTTAAAAAATATTTTTATAAACATTTTGGTCAGAATTTATTAGTTTTTGACCAAAAATGACACGAAACGTTCACACTTTGAGAGTAAATTTTATAAAAATAAATTTGAAAAAATGTTCTTTGAATGTCCTATTTTGATGAGAAACATGCAGGAAAAAATACAATTTAAAAAAAATATTTTTACAAACATTTTCGTCAAAATGTTTTAGTTTTTGATCAAAAATTACAAAGTTTACATTTTGACAGAGAATTTTATAAAAATAAATTTCAAAAAATGTTCTCTGGATGCCCTATTTTGATGAGAAACATGAAGGAAAAGATACAATTTTGAAAAATAATTTTACAAAGATTTTTGTCAACATTTATTAGTTTTTGACCAAAAATGAAAAATGAAAACTTTACATTTTGACAGAAACTTTTATACGAAGAAAATTCTAAAACTCTTCTGTTAAAACCAAGATTATATCCTAAAACATGCTGCAAGGTGAATATTTTGTGTTTAAAACGCCAAAAAGTATTTTATATGAATATTTCAAAAATCACCCAAAACATGCCTTACTATAGCCTTACCATCGTGAAAAAATCCATAAAAATAAAAAGTCCCCGAAATGCCCTAAAATGCAAGATTAGGTGCCTTACTATAGCCTTACCATCGTGAAAAAATCCATAAAAATAAAAAGTCCCCGAAATGCACTAAAATGCAAGATTAGGTCCTAAAACATGCTGCCAGGTGAATATTTTGTGTTTAAAAGTCCAAAAAGTATTTTATATGAATATTTCAAAAATCACCCAAAACATGCCTTACTATAGCCTTACCATCGTGAAAAAATCCATAAAAATAAAAAGTCCCCGAAATGCCTTAAAATGCAAGACTAGGTCCTAAAACCTGCAACCAGGTGACTATTTTGTTTAAAACTTCAACAATTATTTTACATGAATATTTCATATTTTCACTATGAAGATTCTCAGTCATCCAGGTCATGGTCAAGTTTAAAAAGTTCTATTAGGCAACTGATATGAATTCACGTCGAGTTGCCTAACAGAACCTTTTAAACAAGTTTGCTATTACTACGACGGTACGTAGTTCTATCTCTGGTTCTCTTCACTTTGGCGATTAACGCGTCATGTGAAGAGCCAGTAACCGTCTGCACCCTGC